CCAGCATAATCGTCGTCATATTGTGTGTGCGTAGAATGTGCAAAGACTCACATTATGCTATATGTGGAAGCATATTAATCTTATGAATATATATATGTAATGTTCCAATCCTCTGACTATTCACCTGTAGCTTATATCCTCCATACTCTCCGAGATACATCACGGACTGCTGGGGCAGCTTATCCCTCCATACGATGACCGAGAATTCTAGGAATCAGCTGTGATCTGGCATGCATATCTCAGGTTGTTCAACTTAAATGAATCAGTTTTGTGACTTTATAATCAAACATGTGCAGCCTCCTGCAATTCTGTTGAACTATTACTTCATGCATTACGTCTTTGTTATTCTGAGAAATTCACGAATTCTATGCAACAAGAAGGCAGACAAGACGGACTCAGATTGGTTTCTCCTGTGTAACTGTGTTCTTTGGCTCTTTCCTCTCGTTCACTCGCTTTGTAGGAATATCAAAGGCGCACCGAAATGAGTGCAGGCTTTCATACGGATGATGACAAAAGCAATTTAGCAGTCAAGTTCACTGGACACCGACTTCGCCTGCGGTTGAATACAAATGCGGTTAATGATAGTCACCAACATTGAGTCCGGTGGAAGAAGTTTACAAAATAGCCATTTCAACGGAAAAACCGAGTTACTGAAGAATCACGTGAGAAAACTGGCGTGCAATCGGAAAATCACACAATCCAAACATGGTTACGTAAAAGAGCAGTTTGTAAATTTCAGCTTGAAGGTGGTTATCTTTCTTTACGTTTCCATTCTGTTGATCATGATATGAACTCCAGAAGTTTCGCTTTCACGTTTCGTCCGCGGCAGTGACGTCGTGTAGGATTCGTGTTTATAGAATGATAGCCGCGTAGAAGTTTGTTGGCGGTTTTGTAGAAGTGGTGTGCGATTGCTTTGTCCATGGGAGCTGTTACACAACAGCAGTGCCGGATTGACGTTTTGCCAATATATGTTGAGTTATGCCCGTAGAGTTTAACACACGGAAGTTCGCCGCCTAGAAGTGGTGCACTAGTTTTACCAGCACACGACTGTGATGTGGTGACAGTTGTGCCGTCACATCATCTGAACAGCCGACCGCCTGCGGCTGCCGTCTGGAGCCGCCCCTCGCCCGCGCCACAGCGCCAGCCTCTGGCCCATATTGCCGCCTTGTGATCGGCTGTCTGGCCGGCGTTCTCGTGACGGCCGTGTTGCCAGCGGCCGATTGACGGTGCGCCTGGCGTCGGCTGTCAAACGCGCCGGCGACCTCGGAGGTAAACCCGGAGGTCGTGCCGCCGGCTCGCAAGCCAGACTGGGTCCCCGGACGGCTGGCAGCCGGCGTCGCGGCGCTCAGGCGGCCCCCGCTGACGCCGGAGTGGGGGCGGGCTGGCAGCGCAGCCGCGCGTGGTGCGGTGTCGGCGGTGGCCAGTGCCAGGGAGTGGCTGTCGCAGATTGAGCCAAGTCTGCCAGGCCACTAATGCAACGGAAAAGTCAGATAACGCGACGTATCGTTTTCGTATGTTTCGTGTGAAATTGGTTTTGAGGTACACTTTGGCACAAATTTTGCGCAAGAATCGTGAGGAATGAGTAGTATTGTAATTCGTGTGGGGTATTTCACCGACGAATATCTGCCCCGCGCTGTCCATGGCTGCTCATGTCTCCGTTATAACTTAAAGCTGTCGCATTCGGGTGATTCCTTCGGTTTTGCCCGTCAGGCCGAGTCCAGTAACGCCAAATCGCGCTTTTCACTCTACATTACGCGCCATTTGTCCGCTTCAAAGCGCTGGCTCTGTGTCCAAGCATCAGTATGCCGCCCTGCACTTTCAGACAATAACTTGAGCTCAGCTGAGATCATTTAATAGTAAACCACTTTGTCTAGAAATAGTAGCAGCTTTTACAACTAACCAAACGTTCATCTCACAGTGAAATAATTTTAGATTTTTGGGGATGGTTCAAGGCTTTGCCTGCATGGAATGTGGCCTTCATGGACAATTACGTCACACTGTCATTTTGGCTCGTGATTTAACGGTCTCGTGAGCTGATCCGGCCCAAGCTTCAGGACTTCTCCTGATGCGACCCTGTCCTGTCACAAGTATTAGGAACGTCCGCTAGACATAGCTTCATTAAGCCGGGCGGTGCCGCATATGCAGCGTCAAGGACTCGTCGCGGAACCACGAGTTTTTGCATCTGCACGTGCGAACTCCCGAGAGCAAGGCTGTCTTTCGTTAGGTGGAGATTGTGGCAAGTCAGAATGTTTAGATAAGTTGAAAAATGCTTTCAGAATTAGCTTTCCCGAAGTTAGTTATGACCTAGTGAGCCCTTCGGAATATCCATCCTAAAGACCAAGGCTTGCGTCACAGCCATCTACACTGGCGAGCGTTAACAAGCTTGGTCTCTTCCATTGAGCGATTTGAATTTTTTTTAGAAACTTACTCAACTACACCAAATCAGCTCAAGAGGCGAAAGCTTCGGGGCGTGACCAAAACACATTACGAACTTCTCAGCTGAAGTGTTGAGACGGCTGGCCGAGAGGAAGTCATGGGGTCGGCCGCCTGCTCCTTTCGCCCCGCATCACATCGGGTCAGGTGTGGTCGTGGGCGCCGCGCTATCCCCGTAATCGGGCAATGTATACAGCTGACTTTGGACCCGGCGAAGCCGGTACAGACCGGCGCGCGATCAAACAACCGCCGGTGGAAGACCGCGATACGCTGCCAGGCCGGCCAGCGTGGGCGGCTGGCATCGTTCCCGGCCCGTCCGCCGTGTTTGCCGGCCCGTGCCCGCCCCCCCCCCCCCCCCCTCCCACCCTGTCGTCTGGCTGGCTGGCGCGTGCTGACCCCGTGTCCGGCGGGCCGGTCGGAGAGTGAACAGGCCGGCCGTCAGCAGCGCCGGCTCCGACTATCGAGGCCGCTCTGACAGGCAATAACACGCGCCAGCCACCTGCTGGTGCAGCAGGCCGAGCGGGGAGGCAGTCGCCCGCACCCACAGCGATCGGATGGTCCCGCGACTCGTGACACAAACGAAGTGCAGTACGAAAACTGGGGGGCAAACTGAAAACTGTTTTTGACTGAGTTGGCGTGGTGGGAATGTACGCATACGCAGCCGGAGTAGAGCAGCCTGACATGTGCTGCGGAACGCAGAAACACTACAGTTGTCTGTCAGAGCAACGTGGGTGGCCTTAATGTTTGAACGCCTTGCATTTTTTTTAGATTTTTTGGACCTCTTGCGGCGGGCGAGACGGTCTCCATGTCCTTGAGCCCGCGGGATTGACACATAAACTGAATGAGAGCGTCGCTGAGGTGCCATTGGGCGAGACATTGCCAGCGGAGCGCTTGCTGCCGCTGTGCTGTTTCACCCCATCGGCGGTTGTTTGATCACGCGCCGGTCTGTACCGGCTCGGCCGCGGGTCCAAAGTCAGCGGTATGCATTGCCCGATTGCGGGGATGCAGCGACGCCCACGGCCACACCTGATCGGGTGTGGTGCGGGCCGAAAGGAGCGGGCGGCCGACCCATGAGCTCTGCTCGGCATTAGCCACCAGCTGTGCCCACACTTAAAGGGAGTGTTTCGCATGTGAAGATATTGAAGCAAGCATCAGCTATGATGAAACAATCGCACTTATAACTATTGGTATACTTTGTTGTAACTACTGGTATACTTTTTACAACTATTGGTATACAGTGGAAATGACTGCTCCAGACAGTACAATTTTCTGGTTAGCAAATATGCTCCTCATTGCGTCATGGTTTGATTACGTGATCGTACCTTGCACGGCATTCATTTAAAGCCTGTTGACGGCCGTTATATCTGGAAATCGCACCCACGAACGCCAGATATAAATGATTTGCCAGTCATATCTTTGTTGGCCTTGATCGCCCCATGCCAGATAGAATGGCAGGATTCGAATGACGCTGTAAAGATGTCACGAATGCCATGGTGAATTTACAATACTCGTTCCGACATATCTTTCCCCATTTTCCCGGGCGTTTAGCTCAGAAACTAGAGGGGCTTAGGTCTTAAGAAGGGTAGGATTGTGGACGGTACCGGAAGGTCTTCAGGATGGCCGTGTCAGTTTAAAACCCCATGTAAATGTGGAACACTCCCTTAAAGCTGTGAGGTTCGCAATGCAATTGAGTCACGCCCCCTAAGCTTTCGCCTCTTGGGTGATAATTGTTGTGTAAAACGTCAAGGATTGGTGAGCTTTTCTTCAAGCCTCTTAGGAAAGGCGCCTCGCGGCTGGCCGCAACATCCTGGCGGACAGTAGGACCATCGCAAGATCTGTTGGAATGATACCTGGACCGTGACGTGCTTACTGATATACTGTGTTTGTGCCTATGGGCTTCTCTGTCTCGACCAGCGAGTGCAGCCCCGTGAGCATGGCGTGGTTAAATCTCATTAATGTCGGCGAGAGATAGGCCGATTCCACGATCCTATTGCAGCGGTAGTAAAGTACTGCGGCGGGTTTAACTCTGGGGCCCATTCAGCAAATCGCGGCGACTCGCCAGGTCGCAGCCAGGTGGGTGAACACCTGCACCCGCCCGCGCCCGTGTCCGGTTTGTGCCGTTATGACGGTCGGTCGGTGGGGCTGCACACCCGCCCGGCACGGCATGTGAGCGGCGCCGGGCGCGCCGTACCGACCCTGGGGCGCTGCGCGGCCGGCCGCCGCCGCCGGCGGGGGTCCCCAGATGTGAGGGGGATGTGTTGAGGTGGCGTACGGAGAAGGCGTGCTGGTCGCTGACTGTTGATGTGGGACGTGTCGGCGCGGGTCTGTTGCGGCTTGCCGTCCGCCGGGCGGACAGCAGTCGGCCGAGGTCTGATGCCGTCGGGGCTGGTCCAGCCGACCCGGGGCTCCGCCGCGGACAGGCGCGTGGTGGCCCGATCTGCACGCGCCGTGCCTGTCCCTGACGCCATCGGTGACGCCGGCTTCGTGTCGCCAGGCGGATGTCGGAGCTGGCGGAGGCGGCGGCCGCGCCGGCCGATGCCGTGCCGCTGGAGCCGTACCCGGCCGGCGCCGACTGGCAGTACCGGGCCGAGGGCGGCGCCAACATCGTCATCAGCCTGCCGCGCCAGGGCCGCGTGCTGCGCTTCCCTAAGACGGCCCACGCCGACCCGGTGGCGCGCCTGCGTCGCCTCGCCGACTACCGCAACCATGTGATCGCGCCGCTGCTAGGCGAGGCGGACGGCACGCCGTGGCAGGTTGTGCGGCTGGCGGCCGACGAGCGGCGCCGGCTGGCTGCCGACATCGAGGAGCGACGCCCGCCGCGCCGCCGTCACCACGCCATCAACGCCGGCGGTCTGGCGCTCAAGATGGACGACTGCGCCGTGTTCCCGTCGCCACCGCCGCTGCCCTCGCCGCCGCCGCACGTCTTCAGCGTTGAGATCAAGGCCAAGCAGGGCTTCCTGGCCGCCGACGACGACCTGGGCGTGTGCAGCTTCTGCATGAAGCAGTACCTGAAGCTGAAGCGCGGCACGGTGCAGCACGTGAGCGGCTACTGCCCGCTGGACCTGTTCTCTGGCCAGTTCGGCCGCGTCGACCGCGCGCTGCGTGCTCTTCTCGACAGTCCGCAGAACAACCTGCGCGTGTTCATGAACGGCCGCTTCCTGTACGGGGCACGCGCCGGCGCTGACCGGGCTCACCTGCTGGCGGCCGTGGCGGCGGCGCTTCCCGACCGGCCGGCCCATGCGCCCGACCGGCTGCTCGACATCTGGACACACCTCATGTTCACCGTCCTTTGCACGAGCGAGGCGGTCTGCGCACCGGACGCCGCCGCGCCGCCTCCGCCGGCCGGCTGCTGCCTGGCCGGGCCGGGCCCGCCGCCGCAGTCGTTTCTGGGCCGCGTGCTGCGCGGCCAGCGGCTGGCCGGGTCCGGGCCTACACTGACGGCGCAGCGCCACGACCAGCTGACGGCCACCGAGGCCGGCTGCGACCGCCTGCAGGAGGCGTTCGCCGCGCCGTTCTCGTCGCCGCGCTGGACGCGCGTGGTGGCCGAGGCGGACGAGGAATCGACCGACCCGGTGGTGGCCATGCAGCGCTACAGCATCGGCGCCACCATGCGCGACGCGTCGCTGATGATCACGCTGCGACGCGCGGCGCCCGGCGAGGACGGTACCGGCTTCCGCGCCGTCACAGACCTGGCCGGCAACCGCTGGCTCTGCCTCTGCCGCCTGATGGACCTCGATCCGAAGCACATCAACCGCGTCAGCCGGCAGCGCTTGAAGAAGGAGAAGTCGCGCGAGCTGTACCTGCGTGCGCAGCTGCCGCGCGAGCCCAGCCACGGCGTGCCGATCCCCTGCAGCGTCAGCGACGAGGGCATCGACCATCTGCTGGCGGTGTCCGGTTCGCCCGTGTAGGCTGCTGCCGCCATGAGGACGACCGCCTAGATCAATGGGGCTCGTCGGTTACTGCGGAGACCTGGGGCGCTCGCTTGACGTTACAAGATCTGGGTCCACACCTTCTGGGCGTTGCCGGGCCCCACGGCGGTCTCCCGACATCGTGGAGGTCAGAGGCGTTATCGTACAGACCCGCGGCGGTCTCCCGACATCGTGGAGACCAGAGGCGTTATTTGGGTAGTATGGGGGCTTGGAGCGCTCGCCTGGCGTCTTGGAAAACTTGAGGCGCCTGCGGGAGTTTGTTAAGAGCTGGGGCGTTCCCGGAACTTGGCAATAACACGCGGCGGCGTCCGGAGGTTGTGAAGACCTGGGCAGCTCTCTCGATGGCGATGATGCCTGGGCCGGCAAGGGCAGATATGTCTGGGATGTCGTCCAGGCGTGGAAGGTGTGACATTCAAAAGTTATAAGGACCTGGTGCGCTCCCGGGACATCTTGCAGACATGGAAGCTGAGAGCATCGTGAAGACATGGAACTCTCCATTGACGCCATGAATACATGGAACGTTCCCGTAAACTGTGAAGCATGGGGCACCCTCCAGGCAGCATGAAAGCCGCATCGCGTCTCTGGAATTTAAAGACCTGAGATGTCCTCAGGACATCTGGAAGACATGCGACTCTGTAGGCGCCGAGGTGCCTGTGATCGGCTACAGAACACCAGAGAACCGCGTACGGACTAGGGCTTCCCGGGAATCCGGCGCAAATATGGGCCTCTCGGACCCCCCATACGTTAGTCTGGAGGTCTCCTGGACATGCCTTCTATGCCGGACTTTTTTAGAGCCTCTGCATAGACTAGCATACATGCCGGACCGCTTGCCCCGAGTAGTATTCGCTTGACTGCGGGCAGTCGGGTGCTCTGACTGCCGACCCCCCCCCCCCCCCTCCCTCCCCCGGTCGAACGTGCGGCCGTGTGCTTTTCGAACCGGTGTGGACCAGAATGCTGTAGGAGCAACCGCGTGGACCAGAGTGCAGCCCTGATCCAGACAGTCATTGTGTGTATCAGGACCTGCTGTGGGCTATTTTGGCTCTTCCGTCACTTGCTGCTCGTGCGCTGCACGTCCCTCGCCGACGCCCCTGACCCACCAATAGATCTCCGTACCACGTGGGGCCCTCCGATGCAGCAGTGTGTGGGTTTTCTTACTTCTGACCTATCTGATGACGCCGCTCGATGCTGAATCACTGTTCTGTGTGCTGGAGGCCTGGGATGGAGGCCTCCTGCTGATCCAGTCTGCGCACGGACTATGATGTGGACAGTCGTCACTGTTTTTTGCGTGTGGTTGTGTCTTTGTTGTGTTTTTTTAGTGTTGGCTCGCGTGGGTGGCTGGGGTGATGTTGCTGTGTAGCAGGTTGCGAATCCTGTTTCCGCAGAGATGGGCAGATATGGCGGGCAGTGGAGGAGCTACAGACTGCTTGGAGCCAGCGGTTTGTGGAGGAGGCGAGCGGCGGGACTAGAAATGATGCTGGGGAGGGGAGGCTGAGAAGGCTCGGGAAGGGACCCAGCAGCTCCCAGCGGCGAATGAGGTACGACCATGCGACGTTACACTCAAGTCTGAACGCTCAGCCTATTTGACGTAACTTGAAATGGTCGTAAGGGCCATCTTCAAGTACGTTGCGTATTCGTGGTTATTCTCCTCCCCCCTGGTTACACATTGGCTACACTGGGCGAGAGCCCCTCCCACAAGTTACCATATAAAAACATTGTAGCATTTCGGCATCGTTCGCAACCACACTGGAGCGCAATGTTACGCTGTCCAAAATGTCGCTCCCCGTTGCGTTTATGTCTGGCTCCGCCAAACCCTCTTCCCCGATATCCCCAACGTAAGTCATGGACAGCCTCGGACAAAGTGGGCGCGGAATGGCCACTGCGGCTGGCGCCCCAAACAACAGTAATCAAGATTGTTTTAGGAAAAATTACAGAACAACAGGGGTTGCTATACTTTTTTGCACACTGGGCGCGGAAATGACGTGGGTTGCGTTTCTTCCTCATTGGCTGTTAATGTGGACAGATCACGAAGGGTGGCGGGAGTTTAAGGGTCTGGGAACAGGCTGAGCGGGAGTAACTGCCCAACTTTCAAGCCAATCCTAGCTTCGCGCTGCCATGAACACCCAAGAACAACGGGGGGGGGGGGGGGGGGGGAACCGCATGTCAGTGGGCCCACAGACCGTCGCTTTTGTAGAGGAAATCTGTCGGTGCTAACAATCGTCTGTGTTACAAAAATCCGGTGCAAAGACAGTGCCATGTCAGCAAATCAAGCGTGCTGTTATGACATATATGTGTGCATTTAAAGGAAGAGCTGGTTCTCTAATTGTCTTTCGTGTGTGTCTTTCGGCATGAAGAAGATCCTAATAAACGCAGGCATGCATTACAGATGGTAGTTTGTTGCACTCGTCCTTGACACTCCGTCAGAACCAGCCAATCGATATGTTGCTGCTGTAGAACATCTCGCACGTGCCCTTAAAACAGAATAGCCAACTATGCGGAGGGCGTGGCACGCGCTGCACCCCAGCGCGGCCGGATTTCCGGCAGGAACAGAGGCCGACCGCGCTCAGCCGGCATGCTAGGTAAACCGGTTCCCGGGCAAAAAGTCAGATGGAAAAATGCCGAATGAAAAAGCCAAGGGGATAAAAGTCAACCGAACCAAAACTCGAGCCGGAAACAAATTCAAAGCACAAAAAGTCGACAGGATAAAAGAAGGATCGGAGAAGTAGTCGAAGGGATAAAAGTCGACAAGGATAAAAGAAAAGATGGGAGAAAAGTTAACGGACATAAAGTTAAAGGGGATAGGAAGTACAGACGGAATAAGTAGAAAGTCAGAACATCGACAGCGGTAAAGGCCAACTCGATATGCAGGAGTACCTGTAGTCAAAACGACTTGAAACTGAACGTCATCGTGGAGATAGATGGAACTGAATGGGACGAAAGCGGCGAAAAAAATAGTACGGGGCCAGGCCATGCCCGGAGCGACCAGGTGAGAGCGAAGTTGGCACCGGATCGGATGAAACTGGATGAGACCAGATGGAACCAGATGAGACGGGACCGGACCGAACCGGACGCCGCCAGACAGGAACGCGCGTGACCGTACGCGATCAGACAGGACACAACCTATTTTGACATGTCAACCTGGGGGGGGGGGGGGGGGGCAATCTCCACCAGTGGCCGCAAATCCCCCCTCCCTCCCTCCCTCAGAAAGCCGTGAAGTCCTCACAGCGAAGCCATGGTTTTTTCCGGCAGCTCACACCCGACCAGGTCTTTGAAAGACGAGGGAAAACCTATGGTTTGCCGTCAAAATTGCTGGGAACCCTCAACATCTAGATTAAATACATTTTGTCCTACCCGTAGATTATCAGAATTAATGTCAAGGAGGCCGCATAGCTGAGCTAGTGAGTAGGCCGCGTAGCTGAGCTAGTAAGATAGGCTGGGCTTATAAGAGCCTTTTATTCATCAATAGGCCCACTTTCTGGATCAGGCCACCTTTGAGAGTAATGTAGCCCATGCTCTAGACAAGTAGGCCCAATATTATATTGACGAGGCCCATTTACTGACTCGAGAGACCCCGTTGCGAACTAGGAGGCAGTCTTTTCTGGGTTAAAAGGCATCCTATATGTTCAGGATGCCACATTTTCGAATCAGGAGGCCCCTTTCATGCATCAGATGGTCTCGGTTCCGGATCAGGATGCCCTGTTTGGACATACCGGGGCCCGTTTGCCAGAATTGCAAGCCCACTTCGTGAATCGGAAGCATTCTGTTCTGGATTAGTGGATTCCTCTATTCATCAGGGGGCTCTTTTCTGGAACAGGTGGCCCCGTTTAACGATGGCGATGCTCTTTGCTGATTAATCAAAAGGTCACACTCCGCATGTTTTAATTGTCGACATTTATTTAGTTGGGTATATACATGCGACAGTTAATTAGAGGCCAAATGCTCTCGGTGCCCCTCTCCCTGAAAACAACGCTGCCCTGAAGGCCCCTGTGAGCATGCTCCATTTTGTCCAGTAGGCTCCTGGAAAAAACGCCCAACTCAAAATATTTGGCGCAAACCCTCTCAGAAGCGCTTTGTTAACGTTCTTCCGGCTTTTATCCCCTTTGGATTTTGGTCTTTTGGATTTTTCTACTTGTTTGTTATCCATGTCCACCTTTAGTCCATTGACTTCTTAATTTCGTTTTTTCCTAGATGACTTTGATTTTGTCGACTTTTTACCCTTTGACTTTTCCCGCCTCGACTTATATCCCTGTTGGTCTTTATTTAACCCCGTGTGTTTGTTTGTTTCATATTTTCCGATTTGACCCTTATCCCCGTCGGCTTTTGATCATTTATACTTTTTGTCTTTCGACTTTTTTCGGTTCGACTTTTGTCCCAGTCGACTTGAAGCCATGTCAACTTTTTCCATTCGATGTTTTTCTTTCGAAGCGAACTACGGACGCAGTGATCTGCTCACTCTCTACATAAGGCACATACAGCGTAGTCCAGAAGTCATTAAGGTAGCAATATCGAAAGCAAAGAAAGCCAGTGACGTATTAGCCAACGCGGGAGTGTCGCTTTCCAAACTGAATGATGGCTGTGGCAGTAATTTGGAACTGAGGAACTATCCCCTCGAATTTCATTTAAAAAATCCGTGTTGACGTTACTCGCCTTATGAAATGAAATAACCAAAGCACGGTTATTAGCCGTTCCCCTCCCAAATTGGGCGAAAACACCCACCAAATTGGGAGAACTCTCGTAGCCCTATGTCTGACTAATTTCGCCTACCTGAAGTGAGTTCTCGTATTGTGTGTCTGTCACCTCTTCCACCAAGAACCATTAAACAGCAAATCCGTAACAACCGTAACCTCGCCATCGATTCCCTGTAGATTAGAGCGGCCACTTGCCCTTCGGGTATATCCCGTAACCTGAGGTCGTTATTGCAAAGTGACATATCGTCACTGACTACGTGACGGAACCAGTGACGGCTGGACTAGTGACAGCTG